ATGAGATCAGAGAGGAGGAAGCAGGAAAGTGAAAATATAAGCAGAACAAACTTCAGCTTTAAAGGAAGTAAGCGATTTCATATTAAAATATAATTAAGGGAAAAACCTTTTTTTTATAGTTTTGGACAGATTGGGGAGGGATTAGAACACCTATTAGGTTTTTATTGCTGTCTCTGCCCCTGTTAGGGAGATTCACCCTATTAGTGATGTTTATCATTATCACTGAAAGTGAAAGTAAAAGAAAATCCCAAATTTTGGGTTGAGCCCTGAAAAGTATTGGTGAAATCTTCCAGTGGGGACACTATTTCTGGTAATGTGGGGGTTCCCAAGGGATTCCCTTAATTTGCAGAGGTTTTCTCACTTCCTGTTTTGGCTGTGGGACAGGAAGTGAAGGTAAATCTCCCCAATGAGACAAATGGCAAAAAAAAAATAAACTGACAGGGGTTATAACCCTCCTACTCCTCCAATCACATATTATACCTGTCATAGATGCTCAAATTATATACAACTTGAACCAAGGATGTGGACCTGTGATCTCTGTACATAAAAGGAACCCAGCTGTGCTAGAACATGAGGCCACACACACTATATTGCCAAAAGTATTGGGCCAGCCCTCCAAATCATGTGATTCAGGTGTTCCAATCACCTCCATGGCCACAGGTGTATAAAATCATCACCTAGGCATGCAGACTGCTTCTACAAACATTGGTGAAAGAATGGGTCGCTCTCAGGAGCTCAGTGACTCCAAGCGTGGTCCCGTGATGGGTTGTCACCTGTGCAATAAGTCCATCCGTGACATTTCCTGGCTACTAAATATTCCACGATCAACTGTTAGTGGGATTATAACAAAGTGGAAGCAACTGGGAACAACAGCAACTCAGCCACCAAGTGGTAGGCCACGTAACGTGACAGAGCGGGGTCAGCGCAGGCTGAAGCGCACAGTGCGCAGAAGTCGCCAACTGTCTGCAGAGTCAATAGCTAAAGACCTCCAAACTTGGTGTGGCCTTCAGATTAGCACAACAACAGTGTGTAGAGAGCTTCATGGAATGGGTTTCCATGGCTGAGCAGCTGCATCCAAGCCTTACATCTCCAAGCAAAGCGTCGGATGCCGTGGTGTAAAGCACGCTGCCACTGGACTCTAGAGCAGTGGAGACATGTTCTCTGGAGTGACCAATCATGCTTCTCTATCTGGCAATCCGATGGACGTGTCTGGGTTTGGCGGTTACCAGGAGAACAGTACTTGCCTGACCGCATTGTGCCAAGTGTAAAGTTTAGTGAGAGGGGGATTATGGTGTGGGGTTATCTTTCAGGGGTTGAGCTTGACCTCTTAGTTCCAGTGAAGGGAACTCTTAGGGCGTCAGCATACCAAGACATTTTGGACAGTTTTCATGCTTCCAACTTTGTGGGAAGAGTTTGGGGATGGCCCCTTCCTGTTCCAACATGACTGCGCACCAGTGCACAAAGCAAGGTCCATAAAGACATGGATGAGCCAGTTTGGAGTGGAGGAACTTGACTGGCCTGCACAGAGTCCTGACCTGAACCCCATAGAACACCTTTGGAATGAATTAGAGCGGAGACTGTGAGCCAGGCCTTCCCGTCCGACATCAGTGCCTGACCTCACAAATGTGCTTCTGGAAGAATGGTCAAACCTTCCCATAGACACCCTCCTAAACCTTGTGGACGGCCTTCCCAGAAGAGTTGAAGCTGTTATAGCTGCAAAGGGTGGGGCCAACTCAATATTGAACCCTACGGACCAAGACTGGGATGTCATTAAAGGTAATGTGCGTGTAAAAGCAGACCGACCAATACTTATGGCAATATAATGTATATCCAAAATGAAAAAAAGAGTTTTGCCTAAAGCTCTACTTTAATAAGAAATTCCTATCCAAAGTAATGATTTGCAGTACAGAATCCCACTTCTTGGACCTCCTCCACTCTGACCATACCTCTGGTTGTCATTACTTACATATTTCCTGAGTAGTCTTTGGATGGTTTCCATGAAACAATGAGATCTTTCTAGAAGGAACACACAATCCACATTAGACATTTTTTCTGGGGAAATTATTTATTTTACTCATCAGGATGATCTGAACTCACAGGGGATTTGGCCAGTTTCCAGCCCGAGTTATCCTCATGATAGGATAAAACCTTCTGGGAGATCTCATCCGATATCTTCTTATAATCCATCCTGGAATCTTAAAAATATAGGGAACTTTAAAATGTAACTTGTATAAGATGGTTGAAGAACAATAAACACTACATACATACAGTCAGGTCCATAAATATTGGGACATCGACACAATTCTAACATTTTTGGCTCTATACACCACCACAATGAATTTGAAATGAAACGAACAAGATGTGCTTTAACTGAAGACTGTCAGCTTTAATTTGAGGGTATTTACATCCAAATCAGGTGAAACGGTGTAGGAATTACAACAGTTTGCATATGTGCCTCCCACTTATTAAGGGACCAAAAGTATGGGACAATTGGGCTTCTCAGCTGTTCCATGGTCAGGTGTGTGTTATTCCCTCATTATCCCAATTACAATGAGCAGATAAAAGGTCCAGAGTTCATTTCAAGTGTGCTATTTGCATTTGGAATCTATTGCTGTCAACTCTCAAGATGAGATCCAAAGAGCTGTTACTATCAGTGAAGCAAGCCATCATTAGGCTGAAAAAACAAAACAAACCCATCAGAGAGATAGCAAAAACATTAGGTGTGGCCAAAACAACTGTTTGGAACATTCTTAAAAAGAAGGAACGCACCGGTGAGCTCAACAACACCAAAAGACCCGGAAGACCACGGAAAACAACTGTGGCGGATGACCGAAGAATTCTTTCCCTGGTGAAGAAAACACCCTTCACAACAGTTGGCCAGATCAAGAACACTCTCCAGGAGGTAGGTGTATGTGTATCAAAGTCAACAATCAAGAGAAGACTTCACCAGAGTGAATACAGAGAGTTCACCACAAGATGGAAACCATTGGTGAGCCTCAAAAACTGGAAGGCCAGATTAGAGTTTGCCAAACAACATCTAAAAAAGCCTTCACAGTTCTGGAACAACATCCTATGGACAGATGAGACCAAGATCAACTTGTTACCAGAGTGATGGGAAGAGAAGAGTATGGAGAAGGAAAGGAACTGCTCATGATCCTAAGCATTACCACCTCATCAGTGAAGCATGGTGGTGGTAGTGTCATGGCGTGGGCATGTATGGCTGCCAATGGAACTGGTTCTCTTGTATTTATTGATGATGTGACTGCTGACAAAAGCAGCAGGATGAATTCTGAAGTGTTTCGGGCAATATTATCTGCTCATATTCAGCCAAATGCTTCAGAACTCATTGGACACCACTTCACAGTGCAGATGGACAATGACCCAAAGCATACTGCAAAAGCAACCAAAGAGTTTTTTTTAAGGGAAAGAAGTGGAATGTTATGCAATGGCCAAGTCAATCACCTGACCTGAATCCGATTGAGCATGCATTTCACTTGCTGAAGACAAAACTGAAGGGAAAATGCCCCAAGAACAAGCAGGAACTAAAGACAGTTGCAGTAGAGGACAATACACTTAAAGCACTATTAAACCCAAAAGCAAACATTTAATATACCACAGCTTACCAATTCTTAGATGTGATGGCTGCATTAGTTTTCTTTTCAAAGTGTTACTAAACCCACAACAGTAAAATCAGTCTGTATATGCAGTAAGGCATTCTTGTTATACTCACTGTGGAGCCTAAGGGGTTAATCCTCTGCATTGTGTAAAAAAGGCTGTTTTATCCTGTCTTCTCTGATCCTCCCCTTCTTCTACTTTCCCCAGTCCATCTGCTGATAGTACAGAGCTCTAGGCTGCACTCTTCACATACTCGGTTTGGTGTATATTTTTCTTTTGGGAGGGTGCATGCAATCAGTATAGGGCCAATCAGCACTTTCCAGACAGAGGGTTGGGGTTATGCAGCCTCATAGGACAGTCAGAGGAGAAAGAAAATTCCTCCTACAAGCTTTAACTAGCAGAGTGCTGGGACACTGATAGAAGTCACAAGACTGTTATATACTGCTGATGAGAAAAGGTATTTAGCAGTTTATATTTACTAAAATAATTGAATTTCCATGTTTTGTGTGTACTGTGGGAGACCAGATATAGTGAATGCAGGGTCCGGGGAGACCAGATATAGTGAATGCAGGGTCCGGGTAGAGCGGATATAGTGAATGTGTGGGCCGGGGAGACCAGATATAGTGAATGCAGGGTCTGGGGAGACCAGATTTAGTGAATGCAGGGTCCGGGGAGACCAGATATAGTAAATGCAGGGTCTGGGGAGACCAGATATAGTGAATGCAGGGTCCGGGTAGAGCGGATATAGTGAATGCGTGGGCCAGGGAGACCAGATATAGTGAATGCAGGGTCTGGGGAGACCAGATATAGTGAATGCAGGGTCTGGGGAGACCAGATATAGTGAATGCAGGGTCCGGGGAGACAAGATATAGTAAATGCAGGGTCTGGGGAGACCAGATATAGTGAATGCAGGGTCCGGGTAGAGCAGATATAGTGAATGCAGGGTCCGGGGAGACCAGATATAGTGAATGCGTGGGCCGGGGAGACCAGATATAGTGAATGCAGGGTCTGGGGAGACCAGATATAGTGAATGCAGGGTCCGGGGAGACCAGATATAGTAAATGCAGGGTCTGGGGAGACCAGATATAGTGAATGCAGGGTCCGGGGAGAGCGGATATAGTGAATGCAGGGTCCAGGGAGACCAGATATAGTGAATGCAGGGTCCGGGTAGAGCGGATATATAGTGAATGCGTGGGCCGGGGAGACCAGATATAGTGAATGCAGGGTCTGGGGACACCAGATATAGTGAATGCAGGGTCCGGGGAGACTGGATATAGTGAATGCAGGGTCTGGGGAGACCAGATATAGTGAATGCAGGGTCCAGGGAGAGCGGATATAGTGAATGCAGGGTCCGGGGAGACCAGATATAGTGAATGCAGGGTCCGGGGAGACCAGATATAGTGAATGCAGGGTCCTGGGAGACCAGATATAGTGAATGCAGGGTCCGGGGAGACCAGATATAGTGAATGCAGGGTCCTGGGAGAGCAGATATAGTGAATGCAGGGTCCGGGGAGACCAGATATAGTGAATGCAGGGTCCGGGGAGACCAGATATAGTGAATGCAGGGTTCTGGGAGACCAGATATAGTGAATGCAAGGTCCGGGGAAACTGGATATAGTGAATGCAGGGTCCGGGGAGACTGGATATAGTGAATGCAGGGTCCGGGGAGAGCAGATATAGTGAATGCAGGGTCCGGGGAGACCGGATATAGTGAATGCAGGGTCCGGGGAGACTGGATATAGTGAATGCAGGGTCTGGGGAGACCAGATATAGTGAATGCAGGGTCCAGGGAGAGCGGATATAGTGAATGCAGGGTCCGGGGAGACCAGATATAGTGAATGCAGGGTCCTGGGAGACCAGATATAGTGAATGCAGGGTCCGGGAGACCAGATATAGTGAATGCAGGGTCCTGGGAGAGCAGATATAGTGAATGCAGGGTCCGGGAGACCAGATATAGTGAATGCAGGGTCCGGGGAGACCAGATATAGTGAATGCAGGGTCCTGGGAGACCAGATATAGTGAATGCAAGGTCCGGGGAGACTGGATATAGTGAATGCAGGGTCCGGGGAGACTGGATATAGTGAATGCAGGGTCCGGGGAGAGCAGATATAGTGAATGCAGGGTCCGGGGAGACCGGATATAGTGAATGCAGGGTCCGGGGAGACTGGATATAGTGAATGCAGGGTCCGGGGAGAGCGGATATAGTCAATGCAGGGTCCGGGGAGACCGGATATAGTCAATGCAGGGTCCGGGGAGACCGGATATAGTGAATGCAGGGTCCAGGGAGAGCGGATATAGTGAATGCAGGATCCGGGGAGAGCGGATATAGTGAATGCAAGGTCCAGGAGACCGGATATAGTGAATGCAGGGTCTGGGGAGACCAGATATAAGGAATGCAGGGTCCGGGGAGACCGGATATAGTGAATGCAGGGTCCGGGGAGACCAGATATAGTGAATGCAGGGTCCTGGGAGACCAGATATAGTGAATGCAGGGGCCGGGGAGAGAGGATATAGTGAATGCAGGGTCCGGGGAGACCAGATATAGTGAATGCAGGGTCTGGGGAGACCGGATATAGTGAATGCAGGGTCTGGGGAGACCAGATATAGTGAATGCAGGGTCTGGGAGACCGGATATAGTGAATGCAGGGTCCGGGGAGATCAGATATAGTGAATGCAGGGGCCGGGGGAGAGTGGATATAGTGAATGCAGGGTCTGGGGAGACCAGATATAGTGAATGAAGGGCCGGGGAGAGTGGATATAGTGAATGCAGGGTCCGGGGAGACCGGATATAGTGAGTGCGGGATCTGGGGTTTATTAAGGCTTTCTTTCATTTATTTTCACCTGGTGATCTTGCCAGGAAGTTGTTTTTCAACAAAACAAGTTGCCTGCAAGTGTAACAGTTAGAGGGATAAGACAAGCCATTTACTACTGACAGGGGTGCCTATGATGATTGGCTTTTATTTATTTACAAAACCATTATCCCCAAAAGGAAAAAACAACGTTGCTGTAGCTAATTATTAACTGTGAGCTGGGATTTTGGCTTTTAATGTTTTATTGTATTTAAATCTGCTAGTGTATCTAACATTACACTCCCCTGCCAAACTGATAATGCTGCTGTCCAAAGGTGCCCCCCCTGTGCTCCTTCATCCAGAGTGGAGGCACTCTAATACAGGAAGTGTGTTACTGGCCAGATCACCAGGTGAAAACAGAGGGAAATAATACTAAAAAAGAAAACTAATGCAGCCACCACATGTAATTATTGGTATGTTGCTGCATATATTACGTTTTTGGTGTTGGGTATATTACCTCTTTAATAATGAAGTGGTCCTCATGTCTATATCAGGTACATGGGGAAGATTTCTTAAACTTAGGACCTGTCAGGATTACTCCTCCCCAGCATGGTATAGTCCAGCGGATCAAAGCCAGAAAAAAATACCTTATCTCTCATAACAATAATATAAAGTGACTCTGAATGGCACTGCATTGTAGAAAATCTTCCTCAAAAATGTTTTCTGAAACTGACACTTCCAGGAGTGTCGGTTGGTGGTGCCACCCCACAGTGCTTAGTGATTTCTACTGCTGACCCCACTCTGTGACCCAGAAGGCGTCAGGAGAGAATTCCCTCTTCTGGTGGCCATACATTATTATTACACAATATTTATATAGCGCCAACAGTTTGCTCAGCGCTCTACATTACAATGGGGGACAATACATCAGACAATACAGTGCCATACATGAGGGGTTCGAGGGCCCTGCTCCTTGGAGCTTACAATCTAGGAGGGAGGGGATAGTGGTACAGGAGGAAATAGCTGTGGGGGATGGAGTGGTAGGAAGAGTGGAGGACATGTAAAGATCTCATCAAATGGTTCTTCGCAGAGTCAGATGATGTGATTGGATCTATGAATTTTCAAAATATAGCTACTGTGTTACTGATCGATGTTACACAAATCTGATCAAGTGAAAGGGATAGTTCACCTTCATCAAAAAACTGTCTATGCAGATAAGGGGCGTTTGTAGATGAAAACAAACTGTGCAGCTCTGACTAAAGTTGAATAATGAAAATGTGCGCTGTCCCTTTAACCGCTTACCCAAATGAAGGCTACAGAGCGGCTGTCCAGTTCTGGGAGGGCATCATATGACGTCCTTCCAGAACGCTTCCTCCTGCGCACCCCCGGGGATCTCTGCGACTGCTGTGTCCTACGGACAGAGTTCATCGTGTGATATGGTAAAAGGCTAATCACAGCGACCTTTTACCACGTGATCAGCCGTGTCCAATGACACAGATCACCGGGTATATGCAGTTGCCGGTTATATCGGCTGCACTTTCCTCACGCTGTCACAGCGCGAGGAAAGTACTGCCGATAACCGGCAATTGTCAGAGGACAGATCGGCACCAATCATCAGCGCACTTATGATCAGTGCCCAGCAGTGCCATCCACCTGTGCCCATCAGTGCCACCCACCTGTGCCCATCAGTGCCTAGTAGTGCCACCCACCAGTGCCCAGCAGTGCCCCCCATCAGTGTCCAGCAGAACCACCAGTCAGTGCCCATCAGTGCTGCCCATCAGTGCCGCCTATCAGTGCCCATCATTGTTGCATATCAGTGCCGCCTCATCAGTGCCACCTATCAGTGCCCATCAGTACCGCCTATCAGTGCAGCCTCATCAACACACATCAGTGAAGGAGAAAAATTACCTGTTTGCAAAATTTTATAATAGAAACAAAGAAAAACTTTTTTTTTTGCTCTTTGTTTGTTTGTTTATAGTGCAAAAAATAAAACACCTCCTCCATCTCATCACTTATTACAAATCTACTGAGCGACATATCATACCCATTGTCAGACCCTACGCTGGAGCAGTGGGTCTTGGGTTCCCCCTGGTGAACAACAATTCCCACCGCTGGCGCCCTGTGCTTTTCACAGATGAGAGCAGGTTCACCCTGAGCACATGTGACAGACATGAAAGGGTCTGGAGAAGCCGTGGAGAACGTTCTGCTGCCTGTAACATCGTTCAGCATGACCATTTTGGTGGTGGGTCAGTGATGGTCTGGGGAGGCATATCCATGGAGGGACACACAGACCTCTACAGGCTAGACAATGGCACCCTGACTGCCATTAGGTATCGGGATGACATCCTTGGACCCATTGTCAGACCCTACGCTGGTGCAGTGGGTCCTGGGTTCCTCCTGGAGCATGTGGGTCCTGGGTTCCTCGTGGTGCAGTGGGTCCTGGGTTCCTCCTGGTGCAGTGGGTCCTGGGTTCCTCCTGCTGCACGACAATGCCCGGCCTCATGTGGTGAGAGTATGCAGGCAGTTCCTGGAGGATGAAGGAATTGATACCATTGAATGGCCCCCACACTCTCCTGACCTAAATCCAATAGAACACCTCTGGGATGTCATGTTTCGGTCCATCCGACGCCGCCAGGTTGCACCTCAGACTGTCCAGGAGCTCAGTAATGCCCTGGTCCAGATCTGGGAGGAAATATTCCAGAACACCGTCAGGCATGCATACAAGCACGTGGGGGCCATACAAACTACTGAGGACCATTCTGAGTTGCCGCAATGAAATTTCAGCAAAATGGACTCGCCTGCTGCAATCAGTCCTCTGTAGGTCGATCATTTTCATTTCCATCAAACGATGGGTCATCCTGACGTTCCTAACACATTACCCCGTCCATATCAGTATAGAGATCCAGCAGGAGATTTCTCCCCATTGAGATCTGATGTGTTTTCAAAGTGTTCCTTTCATTTTGTTTGAGCAGTGTATATATATATATATATATATACAGTATATGTGTGTGTATACACAGCACTTTACATATTGCACATTCACATCAGTCCCTTCCCTCAAGGGGCGTACAATCTAAGGTCCCTAATTTACATTCATACATACACATACTAGGGACAATTTAGACAGGATCCAATTAACCTACCAGCATGTCTTTGGAGTGTGGGAACAAACCAGAGTACCTGGTGGAAACCTACGCAGACACAGGAGAACATGTAAACTCTGTGCAGATAGTCCTAGCTTGGAATAGAATATGTAGCAAGCGAGCGCTCAATTTAAATCAGCTGCTGGCATAAAGGATAATCCCCTGTATCCATGCATAGTTATCCTAAATGAACTAATAATATAAAATGCAGCGATAAATATTAAGAAAGTGACAAGTGCATAAAAGTAAGGCACAAATATATGTGCTAAATAGTGTAACAAAAGTGTCGTCAGTGAGTGACGAGAAGGAAAGTGAATGGATGATACATAGGTGATACTGAATCACATAAAGTGATATATATCAAATAGCAAATGTAAAAACAGCGAATAGCCAAAACGATACCACTAGCTGTCCACCTTAATTGGCTCCTATTCCTTACAGCAGCCATCACCGAGTCACAAGAAGCCAATTAAGGTGGAGTAGTATCGATTTTGGCAATCGATTTCCTGGTGGAGATGCATAGAAGGAGCTGTCTCTGTATGCTGTGAGGTCAATTCAGAGCTGTGAGGTTGGGAGTGCCTTTCCTGTGTGCTGTGCCGCCTTACTTTTATGCACTTGTCACTTTCTTAATATTTAGCGCTGCATTTTATATTACTAGCTGGGGATTAGAACTGAGGACCCATAAAAGTAAGGCACTGCTGCAAGGCGAGAAGAAAAGCTAACCACTACATACTATACGAGTAAAACACAGTGTCACCAGGGGCGGACTGACAACTCATGGGGCCCCCCGGCAATAGGGGATCATGGGCGCCCCTGTCTTAATTCCTTGCTGGGGATTAGAACCCAAACTCAAAAAAGCCTATGAAAAAGTGTACCAGGGGTGGGGCATCTCATGGGGCCCCCTACTGACCCCGGGCCCCTCGGGCAGTGCCAGAGTTTCCAAATGGTCAGTCACGCCCCTGGGTGTGTTGACCATTTTATTTCCATGAATGTTCTTTAAAAACCAATGTTT